GCCTTAGTGTGAAATCTTACTATGTCCCTGTGTGGGAACAGTGGTCCTGTGAGCTAAGCTCCTGTCTGCCTTTGCATCCCCGACTACACAGCCTTAATGATTAGAGTTCCTAGAGCCTCACTAGCACCTTTGGCTTTGCACCCTAGAATACACCATTTGGAGGACACTTTCCGCACTGATTACCCAGATAGTTCTAGTGACCAGTTCCTCCAAACTAGAGTGTAGGACAGTACAAAGGGTCCTTTACCTGTCCCCTCAAATATAACCCATCAGTGTCATTAGTTACTAGTGCTGCTCTGCTTGTTGTCATTTTACTCCCTCTTCCTCTTTTATTTTATGGGTTTTCTCATGGACAGAGACTTGTCTGTCTTTCTGCATGTCAGTGAGATACCCCAATAGTAAAATGTTGAATCCTTTTACCTTAAGGTTAAGTAAGCTACCTTGCAAGTGATTCATAATATTCAGAGCTATAGTGCCTACCTTATGTACAAGTGTTTGTTTTTCTCTGCCAGAAATTACAGATCCAGTTGTCTATAAGAATGAAAAAGCTAGAGAGATGGCTCAAAGGTTAAGAGCACTGGCTGCTCTTCCAGAGAACCTGAGTTCAATTCCCAGCAACCACATGGTGGCTCACAACCATCTGTAATGAGATCTGGTGCCCTCTTCTGGCATGCAGACAGGCAGAACCCTGTATACATAATAAATAAATCTCTTAAAAAAAAATGGAAAAGTAGGCTGATCATACCCTCTTCATTTTTCTGGGATGTATGGCTTTATTTTTTAGAATATTTTTTATTTATTCTTTGACAATTTCATACATGTATGCAATGTATCTTGATCATATCCAAGCAAGACCTCACCTCCCTCTCCCCCAGATCCCTGGATTTAGGACTTTCTTGTCCTAAATTTCCCCACCTGTGATACATTTTTGGTACATGTAATTTACCACTTTTTTTTTTTTTAAACAATTGTATTTTACATACCAGTTCCAGTTCCCTCTCCCATCCTCCCATGCCCCCCTCCAACCCCTCTTCCACTCCCCAGGGAGGGTGAAGCTTCCCATGGGGGGTCATCAAAGTCTGAGACATTAATTGGGGCAGGGCCTAAGCCCTACCCCATGTATCTAGGCTGAAAGAGTATCCCTCCATAGGGAATGGGCTACCAAAGTCCGTGCACTGGTTCCACTGCCAGAGGTCCCATAGACTGCCCTGGCCTCCCATGTTTAAGGGGCCTGGTTCGGTCTTATGCTGGTTCTCGAGCTGTCAGACTGGGGTCCATGTGCTTCCACTTGCTCAGGTCAGCTGTTTTTGTGGGTTTCCCCTGCATGGTCTGGACCCCTTTGCTCATCACTCCTCCCTCTCTGCAACTGGATTCCATAGTTCAGTTCATTGTTAGCTGTGGGTGTCTGCTTCTGCTTCTGTCAGCTACTGGATGAAGGCTCTAGGATGGCATATAAGGTAGTCATCAGTCTCATTATCGAGGAAGGGCATTTAAGATAGCTTCTCCACTGCTGCTTAGATTGTTAGTTGGTGTCATCCTTGTAGATCTCTGGACATTTTCCTAGTGCCTGATTTCTCTTTAAACTATACTGGCTCCCTCTATTATGGTATCTCTTTTCTTGCTCTCTATTCTTCCTCTGACTCAATCTTCCTGATCCCTCATGTTCTCCTCACCCCTCACCTTCCTCGTACCCCCCCACCCCCGCCCTGTTTGCTCAGGAAGTCTTGTTCCTTTATCCTTTGCTCTATGTGTAATATCCACTTATGAGTGAGTACATACCATGTTTTTCTTTCTGGGTCTGGGTTACCTCACTAGGTATTCTTTATCACTTTCTTATACTACCACTTAAGAAAAGCGATAGTGTAAAAATGGTTATATTATGACTTGATGAGTTATGAAAAACTCAAGGATCAAGTATACCTTTTATTCATTTTTGTGAGATGCTGTATATGTGTAAATGTGGCATTTCTTAAGTTCTTATATTACAGTTTTAGTCTTTGGGTTCATGTCCTGATTTGACACTCAAAACTTTCTGACTTTTCTGGTTTCATTTGCCTTAGTTATGTATCTTATTGCTGTGACAAAAGGAACTTAATGGGTGTGTGTGGTGTTTTGGCTCAGGGTTCTAGGAGACACATGGCAGGAAGATGTAGAAGCAGGCACAGCAGGGGTCACACTGCATCCACAGTTAAGAAGCAGAGGGAGGATACGAGTGCTCAGCTCCCTCATATTTAGTCTGGATTCCAGCCCGTGGAATGCCCAGCAGCATTTTGGGTGTATTGCCAGAGAACACAACACCTCAGCAAGCAGTTAATTTCCCTATTTAGGATTTGCCTAGCTAGAATTATCAGATAAAGTTAAACTGAGACTAAGATTAAATTGTGTGGCTCCTGAATTTTCAGGAGGCGACATACTGCTTCTGGTATCAAATTTGATTAAACTTGGTAGCTTTAGTGCCATTTGATTCTGTTGGGGCAGAATAATTTAATTGCTTACTCTAGAGAATGGATTTTTTTTTTAACTGACTAAAGAATAAAGCATTTATTAGTTACCTTGGTGATCTGAAAGGGAGAGGTGTGCTTCTTTCTCCTATGCAGAAACAGCTCCAGAGCATCATTAGCATGGTAAAAATTGAGTAATTGAGCAATACTGACTTCTTTCCATCCAGTCTTTTATCTCCTCTGTGTGATTAGTTTTATTCAACCTTCAGCATGCTTAAACAGGGAGCCTGCAGAGGGTTAGGAAGAAAAACTTAGGTACTGAGAACTTTTAATTTAACTTTTTTACTACACATGGTTATCTGGTTTCCCTTGGCAACCTCCAGTTTTCTGCTACTTTATAATCATAGCAAGAAAGGATACTTTGTATACTGATGACATCACCTGGAAGTAACTCAAAAGAAGAAACAAAAAGGTCACTAAAAAATACAGAGGAGCCAGGCATGCTTAGTGCGCACCTTTAATCCCAACACTTTGGAGGCAGAGGCAGGCAGATCCTTTGAGTTTAAGGCCAACCTGGTCTACATGGTGAGTTCCAGACCAGCTAAGGCTACACAGTGAGAACCTGTCTTGAAACAACAATTGAAGTGCAGAGTCGTCTGAGATTGTGTTCCGAAAAAAAACCAAAAAGTTTTCCATAGCTCAGATTTGACCAATGAGAGAGACACTGCAGAATTACCTTAACAGTTTGGAGATGTGAAGGAATAGATCAAATCCTGCAAACTTTTAAGAATTATAGTGTTTGTAAACTGTAGATAAGATTTCAAGATAACAATTGCTCTTTGGTGGTCTAGGTAGATAGAATTCCTGCACTCTCAGTGTAATAGGTACTGCTTATTAACTATATTATGTGCCAGGAACCCTACTTGGTTGCATATATGGTTTCACAAATTCTCACAAAATATTCCTGCAGGGAAAATATTAATGATCTGTATAGAGAAATATGATTTTTGATCTCCTGTTACAGAGAGAGTAGGATAGCATTATTACCTAGGACACTTCAGCTTTGAGAAATCATTATTATTTCTATAATCTTGAAGTCCTGTCAATCTCATTAGCATTTGTTTTGGAACAGTATGCTAAGCAATGCTTACTTGGCGTGACCTTTAGTCATCCTGAAGTCTAAACTACAATGCATAGTTCGTTCTCTCACTGTGTCCATTAGATCCATGCCCATCCACTGAGGAAAAGGTTTGAGTAAGTAGAAGAGATGAAGGAGTCTTGTAGTGCAGAAGGTGGTACTAGAGAGGGAGCAGATTCAACAACTGACTGAGCATACCAAGCACTTCCTCTTAGCTAGCAAGTACTTTGTGGCACTTGGCTTAAGTCAGGACATGTAATGTTTCTGAGGTCCTGTGGTTTAGGAGTCTCTAGTGACCTGCTGGGAAGGACAGGGCTCTGCACGTATGTCACAGTGTTATAATTGCTTGAAGAGGATGTGAAGGGTAATGATTGGCCATTTTTGTAATATGTAAGAGCAGAGACTGTGGGTATTTTGTTGAACCTCTTGTTCACAAAATGTCATATGTTGGGGCAGGACAGGACATTCCTTGTTTATAAACTGGAGAAGTATCGTTGAAAACTAAGATCTTTGTGCCACACATTTACAATGCAAAGCGTTTTGCATTATTATCATTTACTCATAACAGGAATATATCTCCATTTTAGGAATTTTGCAATTAAAAAAAGATTTTAAAAAGGTTTTATCATACCTGGTGTCCATGGAGATCAGAAGAAGGCTCTGGATTGCTTGGAACCAGAGGAAATGTGGTTGTGAGGTGCTGTGTAGGTGCTGGTAACCAGACTCAGGTCCTCTTCAAGAGCAGACCGTGTTCATAACCCCTGAGACATTTCTTCAGCCCTCAACTCTTTGCAAGTTTTAATTATTCTTCCTAGAATGTTTTCCCTAACATAGAATTTTTAAGTGCATGAAAAAGTTAACAACAACCCACATTAGATTCTATAATTACTATTTTACTATATTTGCTTTATTATATATCTGCTTTTTCATTTACCTATTCTCTGATCTGTTTAGTTTTCTTTGTATTTCAGAGAGAGTTGCAGGTAGAAATACTACATTTAACTCCTGACCATATAAGCATGAATATGCTGAGCCAGATAGTTATTAAAAAATAAAACACAGACCATTTTTTCAGATCTATATTTTAGCAGCTATGTATGTACTTAGTCACTCTAGGCTGTTTGTGTTTGAGGCTGGCTTGAAACTTGTTATATAAACAGGGCTGGCCTTGAACTCCTGATCTTCCTGTCTCTACCTCTCATTTGCTGGGTTTGTTATACCACAAGGTCTTACTACTTTGAATTCCTAGACCCCAGCAAGACAGCTGAAATTTTACTCTGAGGTCACTGCATTTAATACTGACCTAATAAGAGGAGTTTGATAGCAAATTATTGAAGCACTTTGGTAACAATGTTGGAACTTCATTTTACTGAATACTTTTCCTTTTTTCTTCTTTCTGGGTGTGACTAAATTGCCTACAGCATGCAGCATGGTTGCTGGTAAAACAGGAAATAGGGTAAGTAAGGAGTTTTTTCCCATTATTTAAATATAAGCTACCTGATTCTTCAAGTACTTTTACTACTGTTACTTCCTTTTTAGAGTAAATTCAGCAGCTAGAGAAGTTGGTACAATAAATGCTTTCATTATGTACTGTGTCCAGTTTGCTTACTTACACAGTGGCCTTTTAAGAGGGACATTTTAATGTGATTGTAAATACACATTTAGAAGCATTAGGCATTTATTGAAAGTAGTTTAGGAGGTTATCATCAGGGAATACATTTTAGATTTATACTTGAAGCTAAATTATAAAACTAGATGATAAGCCATGAAAAGTAAAGTCTGGTTAAATCAGAGTAACAATGAGTTTACAGATAATACCTGGAAAGCAGAAATTGGCAATCAATCCCATATCTGAAACTCTTAGAAGACAAATAGGGTTTGGAATCTAGATTTTTGGGTTTTATGGATGTAATGTGGTGTTAAATACTATATATAATACACACCTTTCTTAGGGTGGTACTATGTAATTAAATGAACTATTTTTGTAGTGAAGAAAAACATACATGTCAAATTCGGTAAACAGTCTCAGATGGTCAAATCAAGTGCATGTAAAAAAAACTTAAATCTTCAGGGTTTTTCTTTGATTTTTAAAACTAAGCATTTTGTGCCTTTGTGATGATTGGAGGTTCCTGCGTGCTTTGGTGAGAAGAACCCAGGAGATAAAGATTTCTGCATTAGAAGCTCATCTAGGGTTCTGAGACTTACAGAAAAACATAATGTAGGTTTTTTTTTTTGTTTTTTTGTTTTTGTTTGTTTGTTTGGTTTTTCGAGACAGGGTTTCTCTGTATTGTTTTGGAGCCTGTTTTGGAACTCACTCTGGAGACCAGGCTGGCCTTGAACTCACAGAGATCCACCTACCTCAGCCTCCCAAATGCTGGGGTTAAAGGCATGCACCACCAATGCTCAGCCATAACATAATTTTTTGTTTGTTCTGTATATTACAGAACATTACAGCTACATCTTCCCTTTTCAAAGGTGAAATAACTATGTATTTATCAAATGTTGCAGGTTTAATGAGGTCTTAGTCCCTAAGTTTCAAAGACTTATGCTTTAGGTATGACAAATTTCAATGTTACATTTTAGAAAATGAATGCCATCATGAGAACATGCCATGTTCTAGATGTTTTTCCTTTCATGCACATTGCTTGTGAGTTGTTGCTTTCATTCCTCATCAAAGGGTTTGTTCCAAGCGGTGTTTCTGTGACCAGAACTTGATCTGGGTGTGAATACTGGACACAAAATGCAGGGTTCTGTTCTCCCTCCCTTCAGGGCCCTTAGCTCATTTAGGTTGAAAAGATCACTAAGAATTTCCGTTAAGGAACTGATTCAGGGAATTCAGCTCAAAATAATTGCTAGGGTGTTCTGAGCCTTCTCTTTAGACTGCTGACTATGCTGTGTCTAGAGTGAGAGTGACTACAGCAGATTGTCCCCTCTGGGGTACCTGACAGCTGAGAGGAGTGTCTTAGAAGGCCCCATTTGCTTCTGGAGCACCAACCCCTGTAAAGGACAATCAGATACAGTCCAAGGACTCCTATGGAGACTAGAAAAGTTAATAGCCTCATCCAATTACATGATTAAAAAAATTAACATTTTTTTTTTCTGGTTTTGGTTTTTTGAGACAGGGATTCTCTGGAACTCTCTGTAGACCAGGCTGACCTCAGACTCAGAGATCTGTCTGCCTATGCCTCCTAAGTGATAGGTTTAAAGTTGTGTGCCACCACCACTCAGCAGAAATCTTAACATCGTAAATATTATTTTTTTGCCCTATGTATGAATAAGGTTTTCAGGCCATCAATTAAGCCTTTACTTTGGTGTTTTAATCTGGAGGAGAAGAGTACCTGCACTTGGACAGTTTTTAGCTAGATTACCAATTTTGAAATTCTTCATATATCCAGTTTTCTTTTCTGTCTGAGTTTTTTGTTTGTTTGTTTGTTTTTGAGACACGGTCTCTATGGCTTGGAACTCATAGAGACTTCTGGTGCCATTTTATTTATGATTTAATTAATAAAGCTTGCCTGAAGATCAGAGTGCAAAGTTAGCCACAGCCATAGAGGCTGGGCAGTGGTGGTACACACCTTTAATCCCAACCAGCTCTCCGGAGACAGAGGCAGATGGATGTCTGTGAGAGTAAATTAGTCTAAAAGAGAAGCAGAGCTCACACCTTTGATCCCAGCACTTAGGATCACATGCATTTAATCCCAGCACTAGGGAGGTGGAAATAGGAGTGATATGGCTGGGCAGAGAGAGGAGACAGGAGCTCATTGCAGTCTAGAGAGTCTGAGGAGCAGTGCAGTCTGGAGATGCAATCAGAGGACACTATCTCCCCTTTCTGTCTGAGCATTGGCAGAGGTGAGAACTCTCTAGTGGCTGGCCGCTTTGCTTCTCTGGTCTTCAGCTTTAACCCCAATATCTGTCTCTGGGTTTTATTATTTATGCTACAGAAATCCTCTTGCCTCTATTGGGATTAAAAGCACTGCAGATTCTTTTTTAAATGTATAATGAACAATGTTTTAACAGGATTAATTTTTGCTGTAGCTCTTTAGATTCTAGAATCTATAAACAATTTTAAAATAGTTTATTTTTTGTTTCTACTTTTTATTCTTTAAAATATATTTTCTTGGGGCTTCAGAGATGGCTCATCAGTTAAGAACAATTGCTGCTCTTCCAGAGGATCCAAGTTTGATTCCCAGAAACCTTCATAATCATCTATAACTCCAGTTCCTCTGGCCTGCACAGGCACCATAGTGTGCATACATATGTTCAGGAAAAACATACACATAAATAAAAATTGGTTAATGTATTTTCTTTTTTAAAAGATTTATTATTTATGTATGTGTATTATGTACACATGAATGCAGTACTCTTGGAAGCCAGAAGAGGACATCAGATCCCCTGGAATTAGAGTTGCAGGCAGTTGTGAGCACCCTAATGTAGGGGCTTGGAACTGAACTTGAACCCTCTGCAAGAGTACTGCACACTCCTAACCACATTCTCAAAGATATACTCTCTTATGCACTTCCAACTTTGATGCTAGTTTATGCAAATATAATTAAACTGTTGGCACAATATCAAAATAGTCCTTTAAAACATCTAAATGTGGACTGGAGAGTTGACTCAGTGGTAAAGGACATTTGTTGTTCTTGCAGGGGACCTGGGTTCAAGTCTAAGCACCCACATGGAGGCTCACAACCATCAGTAGCTCCAGTCCCAGGATATCTGGCACCCCCTTCTAACCTTGGGCACCAGGCATGGACATGGTGCACAGACATACAGTTTTTTGTTTGTTTTGTTTTGTATTTTGGGACAGGGTCTTACTATATAATCCTGACAGTCCTACAATTGGAGATGTAGACCAAACTGGCCTTGAACTCAGGGAGATCCTCCACTTTTGCTTCCTGAGTACTGGTATTAAAATCCTGTGTCCCCACATCTGGTGACATGCAGTTTCCTAGTTTCCAAGAAAAATACCAACACACATAAAGTAAATAATATATCTAATATACATCTAAATGTTTTAGATATTTAGAGAAGTAGAAACAGTTCATTAACTTACTGTTTGAATAAGCTCTTGAATGTAGACAGGTGACATGCTAATCTGTCAAATGTAAGATTTATCTGGGTATTTCATTGTTAAACTGTAACCCCAAAGCAACTTTAACTATAACCAAAGTTATTGTCTCAACTGGATATAGAATGGGTGGGTAAGTTTTTTTACTTTGCATATTTAGAGGAACAGTAGCCGTGTGTGTGTGTGTGTGTGTGTGTGTGTGTGTGTGTGTGTGTGTGTGTGTGTGTGTATCTATGTATCTCTCTGTCTGTCTGTCTATCTATAAATCTATAAATATATAGCTGTATATATATATTATACACTTTATTTCCGAAAGACTATTTTCTGTTGCATGGGTATGGGGTTACTTATTAATTTATGTGCAACTTAGCAGTGGGTACACCAGGACAGTAGTTTTTATTCTTTTTTTTCCCCCAGATCAATTAATTTGAACTATTAGCTAAAAGACTTTTTGTTTCTTTCCTGCAGTTGGTCTTGCATAATTAAACTGTAAGGGGTAGTATGTGTAGGTAATAACTCTAGATATTAAAAGGAATGACTCAAAGCTGGTCATGGTACACAGCCTTTAATCCCAGCACTCTGGAGGCAGAGACAGGTGAATCTCGGTGCATTCGAGGCCAGCCTGGCCTACAGATCGAGTTCTAGGACAGCAGGGCTACACAGAGAAACCTGTCTCAGAAAAACAACAAAAACAAACAAAAGAGATGATTTGAGACTGCATTCTGCACTCTCTGTTGTCTCAAGCAGTCCTGTAGTCAGCCATTAGGTTGTTCGGTATTTTGATTACTTGAATGATACAGGCTTGTTAGTTGGTAGTAACAATTGGGTTTCTTAACAAAGTACAACAGTTTTAATTGTCCTATGTATTTATTTCCTCAGTTCCTTTCTATTAAAACTGTAGGCTCCATACAAATGCTAGTTCTCATGATGGGCATTTATGAAAACCAGGGTAGATTTTAGGGGAATGTGAGATTTTTATTTATCTAATATTATACTGGTGAACATTTTCAAATGTGCATACTTCAGGATTTAATGTTTCTTCTTAAACAATAAGGTGGGGAGAGTCCAGCTTTTACTTCATTTCCCATAAGTAAGCCCCATTTTCAGCAAGAGGGAGATAGAGACATTTGTAACATGAATGTAACTATTACAGTAGATAGTTTTATAATTTCCAAGCAATAAACAATTCATCTTTTTTGACCTTTCCAGAATGTTTGAATCTTGGAATCTGGTGATTCCAGCTCAGGAAAATAAATTAATGTGGTTTTATCATTGAATCTTCAAATGTGGGCTCCCATGCCACTAAAAACTTAGTTCTTTGCTCCCTCTAGAGTACAGGGCTTTGAGGTGAGGAGTTCTTGTTTGCTTTGATGTTCTTTCTATTGTCTGACATTGAGTCTGACACATACATGGTAGGTACTAATTGTTGTGAGATAATTGCATACACCCTTTCCTTTAACACGAACAAAGATGTTTTCCATGTCAGTGAATTTATTCTTCTGTTATTCAGAAAACAGAGTCTGCCTCTGGGAAGAAACGATTTAGTTCAGCTGAAAGAAGCCTACAAATGGATAACTCACCCCCTGTTTTCAGAGGGACTGGGAATTCCCATTGATGGAAAGGTATCAGACTTGGGCACTGTTGATCTCTGGGTTCCTGGGTTCCCTTTGTTATTGCAGACAACTTGGTGAACCCAAAGCCTCTCCTCTCTTATAACTTTAAGAAGGATCTCCTAAGGCTTGGGTTGTTGGTTTTTTTTTTTTTTTCAAGACAGGATTTTTCTGTGTAGCCCTGGCTGTTCTGACCTATGTAGCTGTGGCTGTATAGTCCCTCTGCCTCCCAAGTCCTGGGATTAAAGGCACCATTCCCGGCTCTGCTAAGTCTTTAAATGTTCATTTAGAACTATCCAAATTGATGTTAAAGCCTCTTGTTTGTTTTTACTCTTTGTGATCCAGGATACTTAAGAAGATAACAAATAATGTCAACACATTGACCTTAAAAGGCTAGACGTAAATCTTCACCTGGAAGCGTTCATAGTTTAGCTGAAAGGAGAGATTTACTGATTCAAAGCAATGTACTAAAAACTGGCTCAGTGGGTAAAGGTGCTTGCCACAAAGTCTCATGACCTGAGTTCCAGAGGTCACTCGGGGAAAGGAGAGAGCCAATTACCACAGGTTGTCCTTTGACTTACAACTTAAAAACACACACACACACACACACACACACTCTCTCTCTCTTTTAAAAAAGCTAAGCAAGTGTCAAATCAACAACAGACTATTTGACTTTAGTTTATCTGTGGTTAGTCTTGCTTTCAAATATATAGACAGTAGGTATTAGATGATAGTGAAATGGTCTCATTCTATAATAGCCGGTGGAATCTCAAAGCCCTCTGTTTCTAGATAGGGACAGCCTTTGAAACTAGGACACCTAGCCACTTTTCCAATTCTAGTTGTGGAAATGGGTTGAAATCAGGGGATAGCTCAGCCGGCTGCCCTGTGTAAAAACAGGGCCAGTTCCCAGCTCATCTGATGTTAGACTTCTGTTGTGTAGACTCATTGCTCATTTCACTAGAGGAAGTTTCCTGAGTATTCGATACAGATATACCCCTACTCAAGGTCTTTAAAACCATCCTAAATTATGTACTTAGTCTCCTAGTACTTTTGGCTTTTTGAGACAGGGTCTCATAGCTCCGGTTGGCTTTGAACTTACTATGTAGCTGAGAACTCCTGACCCATTTGCCTCCCCATCTCAAGTGCTACGACCAGCAGGGTAAGCTCTTTAAATTGAGTACTGAAAGAATAAAGAGTAAAAATACCTCACAGACGGTCTGAAAAGGAAACGAAGTAATGAAAGTACTTTGGAAATTAGAGAAGTCATTGGTGTAAGCTGTCCTTACCTCAAATTTCAGTTTTGAAGCAGCTAACTTTAAAATTTACATACTGAGTCACGGAACAGAAGGCAAGAAACAAAAGACCCAGTGATGTTTGAGTAGATTCCAGCTGGTTTTCTTTAGTAGAAAACACTTGGTTCATCTTATTTTTATTATGTGTATTAGGACAGGGAGCAAACCATTTATTATAATCAGCTTGGTAAAGGACCTAGTGAGCTCAGGGTAATATGAAGATAGATGGTATGTGGCATTTACAGCTTTTTCTTCAGTAGCAAATCTTGAATATTCTCTGCAGAGATAAGACATATATAACATGAAATTATTCACATTCAGAATGCTTGTTGAAGCAATTTTTTAATAATAGGAATATTTTCTTTAATATCTGGAAGTTCTTACAGCTGGAGGGTATCTGTGAAGTGAGATTAACAGGACAGCTTTCCAAAACATCTAATAAAAATGTTAGTGAGAAACACACTGAATGGCTTATGGCCCCACCCTGAGGGGGTGGGGTTGGAAAACCACCTTTTATTTGATTATTTTATAATTTGGAAGCATTACTTTTGATGAAACAAGAATTAAGAGCACTGTTTTTAAAAGTCAAATTTGAGTGCTTTAAGAATAATCTTGAAGGCTGGGGAGATGGCTCAGTTGGTGTTTGTCACGAAAACATTTGGAGCTGAGTGAGGATTGCCAGTACCATGTAAAAGCCAAGCAGAGGCGGATCTCTGGAGCTTGCTGGCCAGCCAGGCTAATTGGGGAGAGACAGTCACAGTAAGAGGTCCCCATCTCAGAAGATAAAATTCTGAGGGACTGAAAAAGATACCCTCTGGCTTCCATGTACACTTCTACACACATACGGGGTGGGGGGGGTGGCTCATCCAGAATTCTTAAAGATTTGAACAAAATGTTTTTGCCCTGCTAATAACTGCTCAATAATGGCCCGGAAGTTCCTTGGGATTTTTAGTTATCTTTGTCCAGCTCCCTAAATTCACATTTATCTTCATTCTAATCTATGCATTTTTCCAGCATAAGTTGATTTAAAAACTTAGTTTAAAGGAGGGATATTTGGGGAGGTTTGGATGGAAGAAAGGGAAAAGAGAAGTATAGGGATTGTATTACAATCTCAAAAAGAAAACAGAACGACAAGCCCAGTTTTGAGTCTTGTTGGTGACTGGGTTTAGAAGTTAAAGAAAACAAAAGCTAAAGTACTCCCCTCCCAGAGTTGCCTGCAAACAGGCTTGAGGGCATTAGTGTTTCTAATTTCCCTTAGCTTTTCTGAGCCAGCCTTTGGGAGTTAACTTCTATTTCCATTCATAAGCTGTTCGCTGTTAGTTTCCTTTTGCTCATTTAAAAACTGTTCTTTATAATTTTTAGAGCTTGTTTGAAGTGAGTGTGGTCTTTGCTCATCCAGAAACAGTTGAGGATTGCCACTTCCTGTAAGTTGCCCGATAAAAACAGTGTCAATTATGTAAAATGTTAGTGCTTTCTTTTTCATGAAGATAGTATTGTTTCTCTTTCTTGTGAATATTTCAGAACTTGTCATGTCTTAGATTCAAAATGTAGAAGAATCCTCAGGGAAACCAATGCAGCTGACAAATGTACATGCACACACAGATAATATGTAAATATAAGTATATAAAATGTATTTGGATTGTGTCCACCTATTATAAACTCAATAAACATTCTTCTCCTCTTCCTCTTCCTCTTCTTCTTTTTTTTTTTTTTTTTTTTTTTTTTTTTTTTTTTTTTTTTTGTAGAGCCTCACTATTTAGCTCTGACTGTCCTGGAAATTACTATGTAGACTAGTCTGGCCTTGAACTCACAGAGATCCACTTGATTCTGCCTCTCAAGTGCTGGGATTAAAGGTGTGCACCACCAACCATGCTAAGCTAATCTTTTATCTTAACTTGAATTTTATTTCAGAGGTGAAGTTTGCCCAGATTGTTTCAAACCAGCCAAAAACAAACAGGTAAGGATTTTACTTCTTATAATTGCCAATAAGTGAATATGCACTGGAAATGTGATAAGAACTGGTCTCTGAATATTTCTAGACTTCTTATTTTATTCTTTTGGATCTTTTGAAGTAGCCTCATTCAGGGTCACCTGGAGCTGTGTAAGCCACTTTGTCCTGGAACTTGTAGCCATTCAGGGGCCTCTTTGCAGGACTCCGGTCCTGCCACACATTGCCCAGCCTCAGCTGTTCTCTGAAACCACAAAGCAGGCTCCATGACCTCCTCAGTCGTGCACCTTCTATACCTACAAGAAATACTGTGTGCATGTGCTTCTGCCAAGCTCTGCCCCTCAAGCTGTAATGTGGCTCCTTTGGCCCCAGTCTATCATCTGTGTGCTGGGCCTGGGGACACAAGTGCATTGGCAGCTCCTTCCAGGAGCTGAGAACCTTTTCAGTTTAGGTGTACACTTCCTTCAGATGAATTTGAGTCTTCGCAGGATGAAACCTCCAGTGGTGGGGTTTTGTTCTCAACCTTTCCTATTGGCCCAGTGCTGGCCAGGAGGTTTCTCTTTGTCTCTTTAATAAATACAGCTGCTTTCTCAGAATGTTATGTCTTGAAATTTCCTCTGCCAAACAACTTAATCCATTACCTTTAAATTCAATTGTACTGGAATTCTTGCATGGGAAGAATGAAGCCGGATTCTTGTCCAAAATATACCCTGAATGGCCCCTAGTCCAGTTCCTGGTGGAAGCTTTGTCCCATTCTGACACCTCATGAACCAGGCCAGTACTGCCACATTTCCTCAGCATTCTTGTCTTTTAACCCTCCATGAGAATGGACCATTGAGCTCTGCTTAGAGCATTCAAGAGCTTCTCTAATCCAAAGCTCCAAACTCTTCTACATTCCTCCCACAAAACAGTTCCAAAGAACTCTATGATCAGGTTCATCACACAACAGTGGCTGAAGTGTTTCTCTGATCATTCTTTATCAATAAAAACTTGGAGTCAGATATCAGGTAAGAACCTGAGTGATCAGACAAGCAGTAGAGAAGTCACCAGTGACCTCCCTTTCTCTTCTTCCTCAATCTAAAAGGGCCGAGAATCTTTCTAAGTCCCATCCTACTACTTCCTGTGTCTCTATATATGTCCTCAGTCCTCCAAAACCTCTGTGGCTAATTTTGGTCAGCTAGTAGCTAGCTCCACCCCCTGATTCAAAGCAAACTTTATTGACAATCTTGGAAGTGTCAGAGTACAATCAAAATATCCCACAACAAGTGGCCCTGATACTTCCTCAGTTATTTTTCCGATTGCTCTGATAAAACACCCTAACAAAAGATTTTGGTGCACAGGACTGAACAAAGAGGAGAAAGTAAGCTGGACACAAGTATTCAGTACTCCTTTCTTCCTGATGCCTTGATCTGCCTGGAGAGGAATGCCTGCTACAGACCAATATCATGAGCACTTAAGCTTGCCTTACTTGATTTTAAATATGTAGGATGGTATAATTCCTCTAATCAGTTGTGTTTCAGCTCTTGTCTAGATAAAATTTCTTCCTTTTGTTTCACTCTATGTAGTCAGTGTTCACCAGAATGGCCGTTTTGAAAGCTTTGAACAAGATAAAAGAAGAGGATTTCTTCAAGTAAGTATAGAAACATTGAAGCATTGTGTAACTTTAGAGACAGTGTTAATACTTAGGGCACTCTGGATTGCCTCTCACACAAGCCTGGCTGTCTCCTAGGCTACATGCATCTCAGTCCTCCTCATGGCCTGTCCCTAGTACAGTCCCTGACGTGTGACAGTATTCAGTAAATGTTTATCAAATTAACATTATGAGTCAAGCCTGACTTCCTTACCTTACCGAGGAGGCCAGAGTGTGACTCACTGGTCAGTGCTTACCTGGCAGAGATGAGGCCTGGGTTCAGGCCTGGGGACTAAAGCCTGGGCTTTTGGATTTGAGAAGATTTTGATTTCCAAAAAAAGAGTTGGCTTACCTGGGCTTTCAGCTGAGTAATTAACGGCCCATGGGCTGAGAGCTGTTCCTGCCGCATCCCAAATCTGATACTTTCTAGTGTGGCCATCTCTAAAAGAGAGGAGAGGAGGCTTGGGAGTGTCCTTGCTTGCACAGAAAGAGCACTGGTCAGAGAGTAGGGTCCTGGCTTCAGAGCCAGTCTATATCACACAGTTGGAACTTAGCTATGTCAGCTTCTTCTTTTGACCTCAGTTCCCTTTTCTAAAATATAAATTGTTAAGATATGTAGAAATCCAATGAATTTATGTTGTAATTATTAGTGCTTTTTTTTTAAAAAAAATAATTATTGTAGTTTTTCTTCTAGATGATCCTTGAATAAATATCAAGCAATGACATGATGAGGGCTTCCTATCGTTTATGAACTAAAAAAAAAAAAATGAGTCTCATGATGGAAATATTTTCATTAAACTTTAAAAAGTAATGAGTACTTTATTTAGGGCCTGGAGAGGTGGACCCGGTCTAGTTCCAACATCCACATAGCAGCTCACAGTCATCTATTACCCCAGTCCAGGGGATCTAATGCCCTGTGCTGGCCTCTGTGGACACTAGGCGGGCACATGATGCACAGACATAAATGCAGGCAAAACACTCATACACTTAAAATTAAAGTTAAAAAGAATACTTTATATAAATACCAGTTCTTGAGTTTCTTAATGGTTTCATTGTTAAGGCATAGTAGGAAATCATAGAAACATTCCAAGCCACCTGTTTTGGGTTAAATCAGAATTTAATTATTTACAGGTAGCCTTCCAGTTTGTGGCTTTGGAAATTCCCAAATGATGGATAGAGGATAAATTGTTGTTCCTCACTGTCCTCGGATTGGAGTCCATTAGCTAAGAAAATGACAACCCCCACTTTCCACCTTTTCCTGGCTCTGTGTCAGAGTTGAAATGAAAAGGAAGAAAGGGGGAAAGTAGTGGAGGACTCCCCACAGGTAGGACAGATCTCTACAAGTGGGAGCAGTTACCCACTATAGATGAGCCTTATCCAAGCAGTTAAGGCTCATGCAAGACAGCAGCACGTGATCAGACAGAACAAAATGGCTGACGAGCCTGGAGGGGCTTCTGCTTTGTATATGTGGGTTTTCCCCTACATCTGAAGGCTGTTAGAAGTCACCTCTGGGGAAGATAAGATCTCCTGACTGAAGAGCAACATCAAAGCCCCAATTTACTTTGTGCCACTGCTATGTGTTAGAAGTGGTACTCCAAGGGCTGGAGTGTTGCTCAGTGGTTAAAAACACTTGTTGCAAAGTACCTAGGTTCAATTCCCAGCACCGACGTGGTGGTTGGCTGCCTCGTTGGGCACCAGGCAGACATCTGGTGCACGGATGTACACGCAGGCAAAATAGTTATGTACATAATAAAAATAAATCTTTGTTTTGTTTATTTGGTTTTCGAGACAGGGTTTCTCTGTGTAGTCCTGGCTGTCCTGGAACTCACTCTCTAGACCAGGCTGGCCTTAAATTCTCAGAGATCCACCTGCCTCTGCCTCCTGAGTGCTGGAATTAAAGGTGTGCGCCTCCACTGCTCAGCATAATAGAAAAGATCTTAAGAGAGGGAGAGGGAGAGAGAGAAAGGTGGTACTCTACAGCTGATATGGTAGCTTATGCCTGTAATCCTAGGCCTCAGGAGGCTGAAGCAGATGGACTGTGGCCAGACTATGCAACACAGTGAGTTCCAGACCAACCTGGGACACCCTATCTCAAAATAAGCAGAGCACAGATAGGGACTGGAAGATGGCTCAGCGATTCACTGGCTGCCCTCTCAGCCAGACTCAATTCCCAGGATCAGTGACCATTTCTGGCCTCCATAGGCCCTGCACACACGTGGTACATAAACACACATGCAGGCGAAATACCCATACACATAAAAATAAATAAATTTTAAAAACAAAACAGTAAAATTAGAAAAGTAGTAAAGGCCTGAAGGTCCTTTGTTTACTTTAAAACTTGAAGGTGGTAAGAGGCACAGTCCTTGGGGCTCGAGTTCTGAGTTCTTGGACATTGCTGACTCCTCTCAGTTTTGTTGTGCTTGTCACAGTATTAGTGTCCATAAAATTTATTTTGTTTTGCAGGCAATTTCCTTGTCCTCCAAACTCACCAAAGACTGTATGCACTGTCCTTGAAATTGAATGTACTCATGGTGCTGTTTTTGTTGCTGGTAACTATCCCCTCTAGAGTGTACATGCCCTGTCAGCCCTGCCTGGGCGTGTATGCAGAGAACCAGGCAGAGGGTGTTCAGTGTCCTGGAAAACAGACTTCAAAGAACTAATGTCACCATACTCTCCTTGACTAAACACTTGGCTTTATCCAGAGGAAAAGACAATGTAGTATCAACTTTCCTGATTGCTATACAGCAGGCAGGTTTTTGTTTTAACAGTTATAGTTGCTTCACTGTGAAAGCTTGAATGAAATTGCTCTGCTGTCTTGACTGCCTCCTCAGGCAGCGGCAGCAGCTCTCTTGTGGTGACTTTACTCATAAGGCAGTGAGTCACAACGTGTTAGAAAGTTTTTTGGTGTTTTTTTTTTTTAACTAATGAATTCTTAAACTTTTCACAAACTTAATTTTCTGTAATACATCCTCACCAATGGCCATTTTATTTAAATTATTATTAATTATCTGTAAAAGCAAGTTATTTTTAATGATCTTTGTTGTGTTCCACAATATCTTGTAACTCTTCCAGTCAGTGGGTCAAATTATTAAATCATGCCACTCATTTGATAAACTGTTTTTGTTTCTAAACTATCTGATCTATTTTATTAAATCTTATTTAACTATCTCCAATGTCTATGTGGTGATGGCTTCTCAAGTTAGTTTGCTTCTTAGTTAAAGGCTAGTCCTCATTTTATATCCTTGCTTGTAGAATATCAAACTTAATAAATAGTTAATTCCCTTTTTATCCTAATATATTGATCACAACATTCAATCCAACTACCTGATATTTCTGTGGCAGGCAGATATAATAAATACTCTAGGAATCTACCACAAACTCCTTGGATAATTGATGGAGAAAGGAAAATGGAATCTTCGGTAGAAGAACTAATTTCAGATCATCTGTTGGCAGCATTCAAAGCAGAGAGTAAGTGTTATGATGTTCATGCTTTACATCCACTGTTATTCATGAGTAGATTCTTCCAGTCAGTCACACCCCAGCTTGGGCTACCTGGCTCCAGGCTTCCCCAGAATAGGCAACATTAATATGCAAGGCTTTGGGGCTCAGGCTAGGTTTTAGTGGAGATACCCAAGGATACCTGTCCTTTCTCAGTGACTGCTGTCTCCTGGGAAACTCAGAACAGCCAAGACTGCTTTAGACAAATGCACTAAGCTCTAACCTTGGCATGCCTCAGCCTTAGATTCTTTGGGGGAACTATGAAGAAGCCGTGACTTTTACACCCACTGCTTGTTCAGGAGTAGAGCTGGCTTCTTTCTGCCCTAACCTACAGAGTGATTTGGGATGAAGTTCATGACCAGAGAAAATAGATCAAGAACAACCATTTTACAGAAGTTTTATGGGGTGTAGTGTGTTTTAATTTCCTATTAATGAGCCATGTTTGTGGGATGAGTCAGGTCTGGGAAGCTTATGTTTTCCTTGTCTCAACAGGCCTGTAAGTCAAAGGCAGCTTAGAGTCTGTGGTTTATGTGGGATATGGAAGAGGAAGAAAAGGTCTCAGATGTCTATTGTAAAGAAAAACTGCAAGCAGTGGGCAGTGTTAGTCTTTGGGGTTCCAGCACAACAGAGGTCTTTGATGGACCAGCTAGGCACTACCTTTCTCTATGAGAAACACTGAGGCACATGCCCCAAAGTCAAACAGAGGTCTAGATAAGCACTGGCTGTCCCTTCTGATTTGTTAGGAAGAAAGAGAGTCACTTCCTCATGATGAAGAGAATCATCTTCTTCATGATTTATTGTCTGTCATGGGTGAGCTCTCCCTTTTATATTTATCTTTATTATTTCACTCATGTTTCTGTGTTGGTACTTGCACATGAGTGTAGGTGTCATTGGATCCCATGGATCTGGAGTTACAGAGAGCTGGTTGTACCATGTGAGTGCTGAGAACTGGACTCAGGTCTTCTTCAAGAGAAGTGCACTCTTAAATGCTGAGCCATCTCTCCGGTACCCCCCTCCAAAGGTTTATGCAAATTGTTTTCTTCTGTGTATGTGTGCTTATGGGTGTGCATGTAAAGGCCAGGGGTCAATGTTGGATGTCTTCCTCAGTTGCTTTCCACCTCACTTTGTGAGACAAGGCCACACTGTACTTGGAGCTCACCAATTTGGCCAGACTGTCTAGCCGGTGAGCTACAGGGATCTGCTTATATTCACCATATCCACCAAGTAGTAGGGTTACAGATGCATGTTGTCACACTTAACTCCCTTTTTTAAAAAGATTTTTATTTTTTAAATTGTGTGTGTGTGTGTGTGTGTGTGTGTGTGTGTGTGTGTAGTGGGTGTGTGCACATGAATACCGTGCTTATGAGGGATAAGAGCATTGTGTTCCCTGGAGCTGGAGTTTTGGGTGTTAGTGAGCCACCTGATGTTCAAGAGCCCCAAGTGCTCTTACTGTGGAGCCATCCCTGCAGCTAGACTCTCCGTGCTTACACAGTGCCCGTCTGTGAACTCTCTGTGCTTACATGGTTCTGGTATGTGAACTAGACTCTCTGCTTACATGGTGTCAGTCTGTTAACTAGACTCCTTGTACTTACACAGTGTGGGTCAGTGAACCAGACTCCTTATGCTTATACAGGAGACACGTGACTCAGCTGTTTCCCTAGCTGCGATGAATTATTTTCTGAATAGAGAAAAAAAGTAACCTAGAATCCTAATTGCCAAATTTTTAGGAAAAAGACTTTGCAGCATTGTTATGAACTTTTAATCTACTTAAAATAAGCTCAGAGTAAAAGCATTTCTTGGGCCAAAAACATCACTCAACATGCACTAGGTTCTGGCTTTGCTTCATAGTACTGTACCAAAAAGGAAAAAAAAAAAAGAAAGAAAAAAAAAAAAAAAAAAAAAAAAAAAAAAAAAAAAAAAAAAAAAAAAAAAAAAACAAGTCTTGCTCATTTTGGGGGTTGTATGTGTGTGTGGGGGGGGGTGGATTGGAGACTGCCTCACTTCCTTTCTATGAGAACTCAGGCATCTTCAGTTTGGACTGTTTAGGTCCCAAAGAAGCCCCTAGCTTCTTCAGGGCTCAAGGACTGCTGGAAGCTCTGAAACTCCCCTTTCAGGTTTTCATGAAGGTATATGTAGTCATTTTCCTCTTGAAGGGGACAATACTGTCCCCAACTGAAAATAAAGTGAACTGTGAGCCAAAGGATGTACAGCTCAGTTGCCTTGGGATCGATTCCCAACACCAGTAAGTTAGGCATGGTGCCACAGGCCTAGAATCCTGGTACTTGGAAGGTAGTGACAGGAGAACTAGAAGTTTAAGGTCATTCTTATTAAATAGTGAGTTTGAAATCAGGCTGAGCTCACTGAGATGCTGTCTCAAAACAACAACAAAACACAGGCCAGATGGTGGTGGTGACAGTGGTGCACGCACGCCCTTCATCCCAACGCTTAGGAGGCAGAGAGGGTTAGGGTTACACGAGGAGACCCTGTCTCAAAACAACAACAAAAACCCCAAAACATGAAACAAAAGCAGATTGTATGTTCAATGTGTTCACTGAGAAAATTGATTAAGAGCAGCAGTCTTCTGGACCTGGGTGCTAACTACTCTTGTGTGCAGGGTGGGTGGTATAAGCTTGTTCAGAGTTTCTGACTGATAACAGCATTTGCCAGCCATATTTCTCAGCTGGGTGACATGTTATTTCTGACCAGTGGTTCATATCTGCAGGCCCTGGGAAGATGACTTTAGCAGTTGCCTCCATGAGTTTGAGAGCTGGATGAGCAGCTATGTTTCATGACAATCATTCTATTTCCTAAGGAGGACATACAAACTTGTCCCTCCTTGCTTTGAGCTGGCACATCCTGTTATGTATGTAGTTAAGGAATGAGTATTAAGTATTGACACACTCAAAAACCAATGAAATTTTTCCCTAATACTGCATTTGCTACTTTATTTACTGACTAAAGTGTTTGTTGGATCAGTTCCCTGTGGACATGATGAGTTACAAGGTAAAGTCCAAGCTATGTGTCTTGGTATTCTGGAGCCTTCAAGCCTTCAGTCATCTGGCACCTCCCTGGGTCTGAGAGCCACTATATAACTGAACTACTCAACAGTCTGAGATAATTATTGCTCTTCATTTTGTTTTGGATATGTCCTTTCCTTCAAGGACATGCTTAAAACCTGTGACATAGGGGACAAGACAAGACACAATTTAGGTTCAGAAAAGTAAATTTTAAGCATGCATTCTCTAGTACTAAAGACTTTTTTTTTCAGCTATTCCTCATCATATACTTTATAAAGTTTTAAGGTCTTTCTACTATAAATGATTTCTACTATAAATGATTTCTACTATAAATGATTTCTAGGGTCCAAGCTGTTTTCTTAGATTTCAAGTTTGAAACATTTCTAAAAGGAGCTGGTAACATGCTCAGTGGCTGAAGGCATTTGTTGCTAAGATTGATGGCCTGAGTTTGATCCCCAGATCCTACATGATGGAAGGAGAGAATGACTCTACAAATTGTCCTCTGACTTCCTCATGTACACCACGGAACATGCTTGTATTCACACACATTACACATACACACATGTAACACTATGATAAGAAATAGAATAAAGGGTAAAACATGGAATTGTGCTCATAAGGCAGGGATGTACTTACATTTGTTTCCTGCCCTGGGTCTACATGTCACGGTATGCTCTCCAATCTCCATGAATGGTAACTCTGAGGATGGGAACTATGTCTACCTTGTCTACCTCTTTCTATCATCAAGTACAGTGTATTTCCACAGTAGACATTCTGAATGAATACTCTGATACTTTGGTGGACCAGAACCCTGCTGACCTCCTTCTTTGAGCAGAGACCTTATGCATTATCATTGTGCAGACTACCCAGGGTTCCCGAGCCCTCCAAACCCTTCTCAGCCCTTGTCTCAGCTCCTCTGCTTGGTGGTCCATTCTGGTGTCAGAATGCCTGAGCCACTAGCCTTGTTACCAGATCTGGATTTCTTAATCTGATGTGATTTTTGGCAATGGATTTGTCCTGCCTGTCTCACTTTCCTTAGAAGGAAAATGAAAATAGTGCCAGTGGCAACCTGTTTTAAAGCATTTGAAGTAATGCCTGCTCAAGTGTTTGCTGTGGTGATGAAGTCTTCTGCTTGATCTGTATCTATGTGCATTATTGTGTAGATCCTTGAAACTGTTTCTCTGTCTACATCTCAGCTTTTGGTCTGTGATGATACATTCTTCTTGGATTGTACAGTGGTTTTAACACGGCTCCATGTTGGGTTTGGTTATATAATTAATTTGCTATTTAAAGGTCAGACCTTTCTTCTCTTACTTTTTTTCCCATAGAGTTTAATTTTAACATGATTGCTCTTGTTGTTATGCTTGCTTACTTTAAAGAAAAAGATAAAGTTTTTGCTGCAAGCCAGTGTTCAGGGAGGTGGGGCCTTCCTTCCAGCCTTGCCTTTCTTTGAGATGGGGGGCATAGATGCTAGTTAAACTCTGACTTTGACGTCACAAATATATACCTCTGCCACTAGATTATTTGACCCTGGGAATACTGCCTAAATCTATGAAGTGTAATGTTTATTTAATGCTTCATGAAGTTATAATAAGGATTAAATGATGTGTGTATAATTTTACCCCAGTACCTGGCATATAATGAGTAGTATTTATTATTATCATTATTGTTTTTAGCCAAGATTGAGATTAGAGATGGAGTGACCATTATCCCTTGAAGTTCCCTCCCATGGATTGCTGGGACTGTACAGTTGGATTTCTGCCAGTGGTTGGAACAAAGTAGACTAGGGCTCTCACCTTTTCTCCTCTTGTTCTGCTTCTCACAGGTTTTAATTTCTCATCCTCTGGAAGAGAAGATGTAGATGTGAGAACTTTAGGAAATGGTAAGATGGCATCAGCACTACCTGATTAGAGAGGCAGAGGCTTATTGTAGCCACTCAGAGCCATGGTTGGAGAATCCAGGCTCCTCCAGAGGGGGAGCCTGTGGATTGTGTGGCTGCCTCTGCAGACTGTGATTTGTGTCTGAACAGCAGTCATTTCTTCAGAAGAGTCCTTATCACAGGCCTTATGCTGTAATGGACTTGCATGTGCATTAGGATATATTTTTTTTCTCAAAATTTATTAGTTACTCCATTTAAGAACTTTTCAGGAGCTGGGCAGTGGTGGTGCACGCCTTTAATCCCAGCACTCGGGAGGCAGAGGCAGGCAGATCTTTGTGAGTTCGAGACCAGCCTGGTCTGCAAGAGCTAGTTCCAGGACAGCCTCCAAAGCTACAGAGAAACCCTGTCTCAAATAAATAAATAAATAAATAAATAAATAAATAAATAAATAACAAAACACAAAAAAGAACTTTTCAGGCCAATTGGTGGTGGCCCATGCCTCAGGAGGCAGAGGCAGGCAGATCTCTGAGTTTGAGGCCAGCCTGGTCTACAGAGTGAGTTCCAGAATAGTCAGGACTATGGGGAGACCCTGTCTCAAAAAACAAAGAAAGAATGCCTCAGAAGTTCCAGTTTTCAATATGTCTGTCTTTTTCAAAATTATTCTGCTGCTCTTTCAGCCTTCATTTCTCTCCCTATTTTATCTTGTTGAGTTATAAGAAAGATAATGAGAATTAATTCTGTGCAGTTTGATGTTTGTAGCTCCTTCCCCCTGTGGGATCACAGTTGTTCCATGTCAGTAATAGATTAATTAAGAGAACGGATCTCACCTTGCTGTATCTGGGCATTGCTCTCTGTGACAATTTTAGTTCTGTTAGTGTAACCAACTTAATTAGTGGTTATTTAAGTTTTATTTTGTAGTTAGCACAGGCTTGTTTGTGGACCTCTGGGAAGGCAGTCATTGTCACACACTGCCTGTATGGGGTTTAGCAATCTTCCTGCTGGAGTCCCCCAAAAGCCCCTTTGTTCTTTTCACACGCTCTCCCTCCCCCAGATGTAGTCATGCCACTAAACTTTCAGTCCTCTAGAGCCCAGCCTGTTTTCTCACACCTCCTGCATCTGCCCAAATGTTAACTCCATCAACACATTTCTGTTTCATGATGGGCGTGTGTTGCCAGGAAGGCCTTTTGCAGTGGAGCTGCTAAATCCTCATAGAGTGCGTTTCACTTCGCAAGAAGTTAAGGAGCTCCAGCAGGTAAACACTTGTGTGGGAGCACATGTTTGTGCAACCCCATGACTGAGCTAGAATTGATAATTGCTTTTCCTTCTCTGCTGCTACAGAAAATTAATAAGTCATCTGACAAAATCCAAGTACGTGATTTGCAGCTTGTCACCAGGTGAGGCTGGGTGTGCTGGAGAGATTTCAAAGGGAAGTTTTCATAGAACATATATTTGGTAAGGGAATTGCATACAGAGTATATTAAGAAAAAAATCTTAACTACAATTAAGAAATGGGAAAATGATGAAGTAGATATTTCTCCAAGGAGGATGTCTGAGTAGTCCGTGAACATGAAATAGTGCCCAGCATGTTACACTAGGGCCGTGCAGCTCAGAGCCACTGTGAGCCGAGGGTTCACTTCACACCCATCATAAATAATAAAATAAAGTAACAAGTGCTGGCAAGGGCAGAGAGAAACTGCCATGTGCATTGCTAATGGGATTGAAAGTGTGGCCACTTGGAATGGCACTTTGATAGTCTGTCAAAAATTGAAACGTAAGATGACGATGTGACCTAGCAGCTCCACTTCTAGGCACTAATTACATCAATGACAGAAATGAAAACATGGATCAACCAGAGGTCACGTGGATGTTCATAGTAGTGTTTTCACAAAGCAGAGAAGTAGCCAGTGGTAGCACAGACCTGTAATCCTAATTGGAAAGGCAATGCAGGAAGGTTATAGCTCAGGGCTATCCTTAGCCAAGTACTGAATTTGAGACCAGCCTGGGTTACATAAGACTATTATATTAAAAAAAAATTAGATAACACTTGTCTATCTATAGAAAAGCACAATGTGAAATTGTTGTCCCTTCTTATCCTTGAAAGATGTGTTTCAAGACTTTCAGCAGATACCCGAGACTGCAGATAATACTGAATTCTATAAATAGTATGCTTTTCCTGTATATAATTGATGAAAAGGTTTGACTAAAAAAGCTGAGCACAAGTCAGGACCAGAGAGAGCACTGGCTGTTCTTGCAGAGGACCTGGGTTCAGTTCCAGCACACATGGGGACTTGCAACCTGTAACTCCCGCTCCAGGCATCTGACTCCCTTTACTGGCCTCTAAGACCACCAGGCACTCATGTGGCATACATACATACATGTAAGCACTCACACATACACATAAAATAAAAATAAGTCTTTAAAGAGAATAAACCAATAAAGTATAAAAGAATAACAGCTAATAATAAAACAGGAGTTATAGCAATATACTAAAATTTAAAAAAGATAACCAGCAACTGCCTATTTTTAAGCCTAAGCACATACTATTTTTGGTCTGAGGTTGACAAGCAGGCAAAGTGAATCCATGGGTAAGGGGAACCCATTACATACCCCTCTGGTGTAGTATGATATGTTTTGTTTCTCTTAAAAATGAGGAGGTATGGAGTGCTGACTCAGTGCACCACAGGTGCACTGGGACCGTGACAGAGTTATGACAAGACAGAAGCCAGTCACCACTCTGTGATCGTACCTGATAGGACGTGTTTAGAGAAACGATAAGGATAGAATGGCAAGTAGTGAAAGAGCATCCTGGGCTTGGGAAAGAATGGGAAGAAAGTGCTGATTGGTATGGAGGGTCCTTCTGGGGCAGTGGAAGTGTCATGAGTTAGATTATACTAGATGCATAGCTCCACAAACAATAAAATTCATAGAATGTACAGTGTGACTGGGGTGGGGGGAACGTATGTAATTTACACCTCAGCAAAGCTGTTGTAAGGGAGCAGAGGACTGGGACAAAGTATATGTGTAGTTTATGCGTTGACACAAGTTTTCTTTGTTATTGGTGTTTAGAGAGGCAATAGGGTACATGAAGGAAGGTGAAGAAGAGAAGACCAAGACCTACAGTGCCCTGATATGGACGAGTAAAGCCATACAGAAGAAAGACATTGGATTTCTAAACGACCTAAAGGTACTTCACCTGCAGCTTTTTGCTTGTTTTATTTTTCTTGCGCATATTAAAAAGCCCATTGTCTTCTAGTTTATTACCAGCAAGCCATAGTGCCTGATTTCAAATCCTGGTTTCCAATTCACTGACAGAATGCAGGTGCTTATCTCACTCTTTGGAGAAGCAGTGTTTCGATGGGTGGTGGTGGCACACGTCTTTAATCCCAGTACTGGGGAGGCAGAGGAGGTGGATCTCTCAGTTCAAGGCCAGCCTGGGCTATAGAGTGAGTTCCAGGACAGCCAGGGCTACACAGAGAAACCAAACCCTGTCTTGAAAAAACAAAACAGAACAAGCCATGTTGCTGACTCTGAAGCCTGATTCATTGGGCCAAACCTTGGGTCTGCACTTCGTAGTTGTGTGACTCTGGACGAACTCCTTAGCCTCTATGCTTCATCTGTGAAATTAGGTTAGAAAAACTAAATTAATTCAATTGTACAAAGCGTTTCAAATGGCACCAACCACATAGAAAATACTCAGTAGTGCTATTATATTTGGTTATCTGTTAAATATAAAGTAACATCTATTTTAATAGAATTGATACTAAAAATTACACATATGAATGACTAACATTATTATGTGAAGCACATGTATTTTGTGAGCACGTCATTGTAATGGTCCCGCTTGTTCTGTTGACTAGTTCTCACCTCAGTGGGTAAGAGCACTTGCTGTGTGAGCATGAGGACCCGAGTCTACATCTCAGCTCCATGTTAGAACCAGGCATGGTCACGTGTGCCTAACTCCAGAGCTGTGGGCAGAGACCAAAGGCACTAGTGACAGCAGGACACCATGGTCCTTCTATCCTGTGCATGCACGAGAGAGAGAGAGAGAGAGAGAGAGAGAGAGAGAGAGAGTGTCAAATGTAAGGATTGAGTGAGCATAAATGAGCACAAAAATGTGAGTTGTCTGTATAACAGAGTTTTACTACCTTAGATCTTTAAGTCATGTGGTAGAGTGGGAGTGGTGGCTTAGAGGATCCAGGCAGGAGGATCACAAGTATGAGGCCAGCCTGGGAAACATAGCAAGGCTCTGTCTCTAAGAACCAAATTACTTACAGTAATACTGCTAACATAGGAGAAATGTTATCCTAAGCGCTAAGGGGAAAGCTGTAAGTTTAACTGGTGGGTAATGCCTGTGATTTCAGCACACAGATGTGCTGTGTGTGCACACATATGTGTGACTATGTAGAAAACAATATGACAGAGTTTTCATAACATAAGATTGATACTTAGTCATGAAAAGTATAGTACTGAAAAGAAGAGAAAGTGAATAAAGGGTCTGAATAGATGGTTGAAGGAGAACAACTCCAGATGGCCAAGCATCATGTGGAGTTCCGTTCCACCTCCAGGACAAAGTAATGACATTACTTTATTTCCGTAAACCGGTGAAGCAGACAGTGGGTGTAGTAGTAAAAAGGAAGACAGTACCAATGTCCCTGCACCTTCTATTGGCAACCTCACTTCAGGAGCATGGCTCCTGTATAAGGAGATTACATGGAAGGAGATTTTCTGACTTTGTTCAAAGCGGCAAAATCAACAATGTCAAAGCTGGAGAGAAAATGACGTTAGCTGGATGCGGTGGCACAGCACATCAAGGGCGTGAGTCTAGGACCAGCCTGGATGATGTTGTAAGAGGGAGCAAGCAAACAAAAAAACTTTGAATGATCTAGTGGTAGAATGAACAAGCATCTTGTAGCTATTAAAAATAAAACCAGGAGCAAGCTATGATTTCCCTTAATCTGGGTTAGGTTAGTGTGTGTCTATACATATCAAAATGTTGGGGGAGACATACAGTGTCCGGGTCTGACTCATGAGACACAAGCAAAGTGACCGGTATGAGTGCTGCAGGGAAAGCACGCATCATTTGTCCTCTAGAGACACTGGCCACCTCCACTGGCTTTGTGCTTTGCTCTTGCCTAGGGCCTTCAGGACAGGAGTTTGGGTTTTGTTTTGTTTGGGACAGGTTGTCATGTAGCCCAGACTAACCTCAAACTCAATATGCAGCCAAGGATGGTGCTGCACTTCTGATCTTCCTATATCCAGGAACCCTGAGTGCTGGGTTCCTGGTGTGTGTCCCCATACCTGTTTTCTGTGCTCTGCTAGGGACTGAGCCCAGGGCTGTCATGCAAGCTATGCAGGCACTGTACCAAATGGGCCAGCCGCCTCTCCAGCCCCAGATAAGTAGGTACAATACCGACATACCTTTAAGAATGAAGACAGATTTATGAACTTTGTAAATCATGTATTTCTCATAGATATATAAATCATCTGAATGTAATGGTGTACACCTTTAATCCCAGCACTTGGGAAGCAGGAGCAGATAGATCTCTGAGTTCAAGGCCAGCCTGGTCTACATAGTGAGATCCTGTCAAAACAAAGACAAAAACCCAAACAAAAACTTGTTTGTTTACCAAAAACCCACCAAAAATATAGATGTATGAATCATTTAGAATGCTGTTTAAAAAAAAAAGAAATTTATTGAAAAGAATAGGTTTGGGGGCTGGCATTTGAGGCTCAGTGAAAAATAAATCCATTAAAAATAGATTCAAGGGCTGGGGATATGGCTCAGTGGCAGGGTGCTTGCCTAGTGCAAGGCCCTGGGTTTGATTCCCAGCACTGCAAAAACAAAACAAAAAAACCTTAGTTTGGGGGATTACCATAGATCTAAGTAAAAAGTAACATAGAAAGCTGGTTTTATAGGGACATTGGAAGTGGTAAGAGACCACTCCCAGGCACAGTGCTGGGCCTGGTTGGTTTCTAGTAACACTGTTATACTTTACAAAATTCCCATTGGCTTAGAGATAAAAGGTGAGTTACTTCTCTATTCTGAGAAAAAAAAAAAAAAGCGCTGCAGGCTTGCCACTTGCCTCCTCTTTCTAAAGGGCAGCCTACTTCTAAGGAAAAACTGTGTTTGTGTGTGTTTCTGAAAATTCAGCACTGTGGGATAACACAGTAAGAGCTAAGAGTGGGCGTAATGGTTTCCTTTTGTGGTCTAAAAAGCAGACCAAAAAGGACACATGGGCATGGGTGCTGAGGAGTGCTGTGTTAATGGCTCTGTGATTGGTTCATAGTCAGTCCTGGGAGAGGAGTTCTCACTGGGTAGCTGCATTTATTTATTTATTTATTTATTTATTTATTTATTTATCTGTCTGTCCATCTGATGTCTATCTTTCTGTCTGTCTATCTGTCTTTCTTTCTTTTTCTTCTTAGACAAGGTCTTACCATGTATCCCTGGCTGTCCTGGAACTCACTCTGTAGACCAGGCTGACCTCAAACTCACGAGACCCACCTGCCTGTTCCTCCAGGGTGCTGTGGCACCATGTTAGGCCATAGCTGCTAATTTAAAGGCTGTTTCTGCTCTCCGAGTCTCTATATACATTATTATAACTCTTCATCATAGTTCATTCTTGAAAATATGTGTCTTTTTGGCTGGAGAAAAGTCAAGTCCCATAGAGACAGCTCATCTCATAAGAATTGTAGAATCATAAAAATCACAGCGGGGAGGGGCTGTTAACTCCTGCTCTTATGGATCAGGCATGCTCTCCAAGTGTGGTCTTCGTCAGAACTTGTTCTTCATCCTTGGTGTCTAGAAGGGAATGTAGGCTGGAGCCTTTCCCTCCTCAGCAGAGTGGCAGCTGCTCACTCATGCAAATTAGGAGCTGTTCCAGCAACAGACTGCAGAGTTCTTAAGAACCAACTTGTCTGCTTTGCCTAAAATCTATTTTTAAAGGTTTGAAATAGCTGACCTTTTATAGTATTAATCCCTAGTTCTTAATTTATATCACCTAATATGTAAGGAAATCTCTAATTTGATGTAAGTATAAGAAAAAGCAACCTGTATCACTGAAAATATTACATGCAAATATTAATATAATATTAATTAATATTAATACACGCAAATATTATTTTTGTAAAGCTGGACTAAAAAGTACTGTTTCTGTGCTCTGGAAGACTTATTTATAATCAGCATGTGGAAACATCTTGCTGACACTGCTGCGCTTTTTCCAGATATAGTCTATTGTACGACAACCCCCAAAACAGGTGCATACTGTTTCGTAAAATGTGCACAGTTCTGACATGCACAAGTAACACTTAGGTCCCACCTTCTACCTGCTACTTCTCTTCCAGCCCAAAATCCTCACTTTTATGTCAATCACTTTGTGGCATTAGAAAACAAAGATAACAATGTTGTCTTCTAGCAAAGTCCTAAGCCGGAATCCTGGCTGATGTGTGAAGTGAGGTCAGGGCAGAAGTGCCCTAGGGATCATTCCCTTCTGAGCTCCTTCCTATAACTAGAGCCTAAGGAGATGCAGCTGGCTCCGAGTGCCCATCCTACTCTGACAATGATGGGTACCAGTGTGGTGAGCTATGGGTGGCTGTGTGACTGCATCATATCCTCTTCTAGGACTTAAAGATTGACCAGAAAACACCTCTCCGGGTCCTTCACCGAAGGCCTTTGGCTGTGAGAACTCGGTCCATTCATTCTATGGAGACACACTACCTGGATGAGCATCATTTTCGTCTGTATTTGAAGACCCAAGCTGGAACGTATCCTTTTGCCCCTACATCGCAGAGACCCAACCAGAATGGGATCCTGGCAGTTAATGCTGCCCTAGACAACAGGTTCAGTTGATTGAGGAGATGTTTGTTTGTTAGAGATGTGGTCTTGTGTACCCCAGGTCACATGTACTCCAGGCTGGCCTTGAACTTCTGATCCTCCTGCCTCTACCTCTCAAGTGCTGGGATTACAGGCCTGTGCCACCTGGGGTATTCTGGAAATGATTTGGGTGTTTTCATTCAATATTTTGGAGTGGAATCAATACTTTTTTGTTTGATGTCTATTTTCCCATTTGTGTTTCAAAACAGTGTTTTAAACCATGAAATCTATCAGTTCAATGGCAACTTTTAAAATTTACAGTTCTGGCCAGGTGGTGGTGGTATACTCCTTTTATCCCAACACTCAGGAGGCTGAGGCAGGAGGATCTCTGTGAGTTGAAGGCCAGCCTGGTCTACAGAGCTAGTTCCAGGACAGGTAGGGCTATTACACAAAGAAACTCTGTCTTGAAAAACAAAAACAAACAAACAAAAATTTACAGTTCTGTTACAGTGTCTTACCCATTGTTTTAGTATATAATATACTCAGAAAGTACTTTTAATTGATTCATTTGCTGTCTTTCCACATTTTGCCAGTCACATAACCCTATTTGGTCCTCTAAGTGTAAATGGAGGTCTTAATTGGTCTAGATAATAAAAACTCGCCCTCGGAGTCAGATATGGAGGAAAATGCTGAGAGATCAGAGAGAAGAAGGAGCAAGCCACCACCACACCTTATCTCCTTAGTGTCTCAGCAGACGAGAGAACAGTTTCCTGATTCTCCCTGCATATATCCTGTTTCCGCCCAGCTACCTCACTTCCTGTCTGTTTATACAGACCCCCCTAGACCTCCAAACCTCTATGGTTAGCTAGTGGCAGACTCCATTCTCTGACACCCAGACAGGCTTTATTTGTACAAGCAAGATATCACCACATCTAAATATTTCAAGTGTTTGATAGAAGGATACGGGTATTTTAGTATCTTCAAAATTTGAGACAAGAGCTCACCATGTTTCCAGGCAGGCTCATCATTACCCTTGAGCAGTTCTGCCTCTGCCTCCCAGATGACAGGAGTACTGATAATGCTGTGATCAGTGCTTCTTGACATATTGATAGTAACTTGTGTACAGGCCTGTGTGAAAACAAAACCCGAATGCTACATATCACCTACTTCGGCAATAATATGTCAGTGTTAAGACAGAGTTCAAAACTCCAAAACTTTGACTCTGTTTTAAATAGAAAAGATTGGAACTAGACTTTAAATATCTACATGCCCAAGCAGGTACTTTGTTTATAACTTATTCCAACCTGTGACTGTGGGGCCAGAACCAGGTTTCTAATAGAGCGTGTCAGAGAGCTCCAAAGTCTCAAGCTTAGTGCAATATTCACTTTCTTTTAGGACTGCATCTTACTGTGACTCCTAGGCTGTTCCTGATCTCAAGATTCTGCCTCTGCCTTCCAGGTGCTAGGATTACAG